GTACATGCTAGAAAACTCTCTATCTTTGAGTTATATCCCTGGCCCTCATTCTTTTACAATTACATACACACACACACACACACACACACACACACACACACACACACACACACACAAAGTGTTAACATACATAGCAAGAGAACAGAGTTCATTGGTGCCCCACAGCTGAGCAGGCGTTCCTAGTCCTTGCCTGCAGCTCTGGACTACCTTGCTCCTCCTGGGTTATTGTAACAAGGTTTCAATGGAATACCAGCCCTGCCAGCACATGGTCATTAATGTTGCTGATGAAGTCAGCCATGATTCCTTGAGTGCATCTGTCCAAAGTCCGCATTCCGTGACCTCCAAGGTTCCCTTCCAGTTCATTCTTTACTTGACCTTTCCCAGTAATCCTCTACGGATGCCACTAGTTCGTCACTATTACAAAGCGCCCAGGCAATGTCCCTCATAGCAGCAGACCACTGTCTGGCGATGTCTCCAGGATGGATTCCTAGAAGGGGACTTTCCAGGTCAAAGTCTGCCTACTTTTTAAGCTTTTAATAGCACGTGACAAGTTGTCCTCCAGGGGACCAGCACTGATTCACACTCCCAGCAGAGAGCAGCACCCTGGACAGCCTGCTCTTGTTAATGACAGGAAATTGAAAGGAAGGAAGGAATGTGCAGAGAAAGAGGGAGAAGGAAGAGCCCCCCCCCCCAGCTGAGTGGCCCAGGGGAGTCCCTAGACACAGGCCAACCTGACTAAGCAGGAAGGTGCAGGGAGAGCCCCGGAGCACAGCACACTGGCAACTGTGGCTGATTAAACCCTAAAGCGAAGATTCAGTGGGGACTGAGAACAAAGCCTGAGCGGAGGAGACTCTTGGATCCATTCTAATTAGCTGCTTCTCCAGAACGGAGAGCAGCCTGCCACAGCTGCCCAGGCAGAAACCCGAACTGCTGCAGCCCTGCACTGGCTGCAGTCCGGATCCCTAGCGCTGCCCCACAGCCTAGAAGGGGGATCTGAGAGCTGTGGGAGCTGACCACAGATGACCCCAGAGCCCAGGCCAGCTCTCTCTGGTCTGAGACCCAGCTAAGGGCAGAGACACGATAGGTGCCCACTAGGGACGTAACTGTCTTTCTCCTCACTGCCTCTTCTGCCTGTCCGCCCGCCATTGCAGCCACCTTCTCCTCCTGCTCTTCCTCCTCCTCCTCCCTTCCCTCCTCTTCCCTCCTCCTCCTCCTCTCTCTTGCTTTAAAAACTGAACTCCATTTCAAGCATGAGGGAAGGCATATTTGATGCCTTTGCTCTTCTCACAGAAAATGGAGAGCAGGTTGCCTCTGGTGCTGCAGCCTGGGCTAGGCTGTCTGTCTGCTGTGGGTGAGGAGTAGGTGCCAAGATACTCTGCTATCCTTGGACACATCCTTCCCGTTTGTGCAGGCATATTTATGTGCTGAGTGTGGACACCCAGACAAAACCTGTGTAAGGTTAAAGCTGAGCTCCGCGGCAGTGGGCAGAGCCATGCCCACAGTGGCAACCGCTGGCTGGGAATCACACTGAGCAAAGGGCACCAAGTCCAGAGCACCTGGGTGTGATACCATTTGTAAGACCATGTTTAAGAGTAGGGGCTGGGGGGGGGGCAGGAGGCTGGGAAGATGACTCGGTTGGTAACATGCTTGCCATGCAAGCTTGAGGACCCGAGTTCGATTCCCAGAACTGGAGAAGAGAAAGAAAAAAAAAAAGTCAGGCATGGTGGCCCTTGTAATCCTAGCACTTGAGAGGCGGAGTCGGTCAGTTCCACGTCGGTGAGATGCTATCTCAATAAAACGTCATCCTTGGGGAGCATAGCCAGGGATGACCTCCAGCCTCCACGCACCAGCACACAGGTGCACCTGTATCCACACACACTCAGCAGGCCTGGGGCTGCAGCTCAGGGATAGAAAGCTTGCCTAATGCTCAAGACCCAGGGCTCCACCCCCAGTACTGCAACCAATGCATTAAGAAGCATGAATTAAAAAGCACATAGAGTCCAGATCCTGGGAGCCTCGTGCTGGTACAAAAGGAAGATTCCAAGCCCGGTGTGTTGGCTCATGCCTATAAACCCAGCACATACGAGGCTAGCCTGGGCTACATAGTGAGACCCAGTTTCAAAGGGAAAAAAAAAAAGGTTAAGCAGAGGCCAAGTTTCATGAACAAGGATCCAGTTATACAAAAGCAGACTGGGTCGTCATACCCCAGATCTCCATTTTAAAACAGCAACCCTTTGAAGTAACAGAGGGAGAGGATTAAGGCTGATGAACAAGAGGGACATCTGTCTGGCTCCTTGCACCCACCCTGTGGGTGTTTTACACCCAACTTAACAGGATAGAGCATGTGCGAGGCAGATACCTAACCAAAGGGACCTAGAGTTACTTCTTGCCCCAAGGCCCCCCCGAATGCAGTGGTCCCTACAGAATGCTCAGCCCCCGTGGCAAAGCCACCAATTAGCATGGTTGCTCTTATTCTCTTCCTGGATAACACAAAGGGCTAGCTCTGAAGCCCCCACCTTTTACTCAGAGCAAGGAGGCCCAGGACCCTGAGAGTGATCTAAGGAGAAGAGTAGTCCCCACAGGTCCAGAAGGCCAGAGAGTGACCAGGCTGGGGCTCGGAGTCAAGTTCAGTCAGCCCCTGCCAGTATAGACAAAATTGGCCAAACTCCCTCAAAGTCCTTAAAATTTAACAGTCTTTGATTCTTCATGCATATAGGTAGACAGGCAGAGTCCAATAAACAGCCTGTGGGGGGCCCAGCACTGGGAGCTGTCTCCAGGGCCTTCTGGGCACATAGGACGGGCATGGTCCTTTGTCCTTCTCTATGGCACATACATTTTGGTGTGGCAGAGAGAAACAATAAACAGTTAACAAGTATATACATAACCAATGGTAGAAATTCCTAGAAAGAAAGTGCCAGACCCTTAGAGGGACCCCAGATCTCTTATGTGGGTTCTTCCTGAAACAACCTTCTTGGGGAGGAAGCTGCCAGCCAGGGTATTTCTGTGGCAAGGTACAGGCAAAGGCTTTGTCATGCTCAGGCAGAGGGAATAATGCGTTCAAAGGTCCTGGGGTAGAGAAGAGCTGAGCCTTATGAAAAGTCAGTGTCCCTGGTGAAGGCAGAAGAGAAACCCCATTCCCAGTGTGGGCTTTTGCAGAGGTGCAGTGGGAGCCACTGAGGATTGTAGTTGGAGCACACAGTGGGGTCCTCTGGCTGCAACTGGGGGGGGGGCTGATTCTTTGGAGCCCTGCCCACATCTTGCAGCAGATACCTTCATTTTCCTGGGGCTTCCACCCACCTCCCAGAGAGTCAATGGGACTCTCAGCTTTAAGATCAGCAGCCACTCCATCTACAGTGGCCAGCCACTTGCCCATCCTCCCAGCCTGCAGTCTGCTGGATGCAGAGCTCTAGAACCAACATTCCCCCACTCCGGGTTGCAGGGCTGTGCCACACCATGCCTGGCCAGGCCTTGCAGCCTGGCCAGCTGAACTCATCCAGGACAGCAAGCAAGGACAGTGGAGCCCAGTGGAGGCAGAGGAGGAGAAGGTGGAGCCGACAGACCCTCCTGACCCCATTCACATAGTGCTCACTTACAAGACCATCTGCTCAGGCCGAGCGGGCAGCACAGGGCATCGGGGCAGAGACAGCAGCACCCGGCCAGCCACGTGCTGCCTCTAGGGCCTGCACAGGAGTCAGAGACCCAGTTGACTGCCTGCTGAAGCTGTTGACTCTGGCCAGGCTGTAGGGATGCCAGCTTCTGGTGCAGACCCTCCTCAAAAGAGGCTGAGGCCGAATGATGGAGGCTTCAGTGGGAACAGGGTGTGGGAGAGATGTGAAGAGGATCAGGTGTGTAACCTCCTTAGAAAGAAGCACTCATGGGTGGGGCGCAGGGAACAGAGCTTCTGAAGCCAGATAATGTTCCCAACATGAATTAGGTGGCCCCTGCCCTGATGACCCCTTAAATGACCACCAAAGGCTTCCTAACTGGTCGTAGTGACCCTTCATTACAGTCTAGACATCAAGTGGTCTACTTCAAGCCTTTCAAAGCCTCTTGGGGTGCTGGCTTGGTGGCCTAAACCCCAACCTTGGCTTTTTTCTGTCATGTTTACACACACACACACACACACACACACACACACACACACACACACACACACAGAGAGAGAGAGAGAGAGAGAGAGAGAGAGAGAGAGAGAGAGAGAGAGAGAGAGTTGGTTTCAAAGACCATTTGCTGTCATTTTCTTTAATACCTTGTATTAATTTCTTCTTCATGTCGGTTGTCCTGCCTAGTTAATGTACAGTGAGCAGTGTGTTCTTTTGAGTTCTTTGGAGACATTCCCCAAACAGATGCTCAGGGGCAGCATTTGTTTCGGGAGGTGATCTCAGAGGTAGTGTGGAGGTGTGAAATGGAGAAGAGGGAAACCAGTGAGTCTGAGCCACCATTGTAGGCAACAGGGCCTTCCTCATGGGGGGAATGCCCAGAATAAGTTGCCAAGGGACAAGGGGTCTGCAGAATTTGTCACCCAGCTCTGAAACTCCAAGATAAGAGGACTGGAGAAGCATGAGCCCCCCAACACTCTAGTCTGGGCCTTGCAGGTCAGTAGAAGGGAACCGTTTCCATCTCCCCTTGCATAGACCAGAGAAGAAAGGTCCTGGAAGAGCTGTATGGAGACACTAGGCTGTGTGTGCATCAGGCTGACAGGCTCCCTGATCCATCTGGGAAAGACTACATTTCCCAACATCTTTGTACTGTGTTAGGAGCCTGTGACCAGTCATGGCCAATGGGCTACGAGAGGAAGTTAGGAGCAGCAGATCCTGTCCAACCCATAGTCCTCTCCCCCACAGTCTTCCACACTTTCTCTTCACTGGCCTGCAGAGCCCCAGAAGGGTCAGAAAATGTTTTCTTTAAGCTTCCTGAAGTATACAGTCTCTGTCACAGCCAGTCAATTTGTCTGTGCTGTGTTAAAGCAGTCTTTGACAAAATGTAAATGAATGGCATGATTGTGTCTCAATAAAACTTTATTTATTAAAAAAAAAATCACAGATTGCAAACCTCCATCCTAGAAGCTGGCAGAACCATGGGTGGGTGGAACCTGGGGGCCACACAGCTTCTTTGAGTGATATTCACTAGCCTCACCCTAGCCAGCTTCCCCTCAGTTGTGCTCTGAGTGATAAAATTCTGTGTTCAGACCCTCCCAAGCAGGGGTAGTAACTGATAAGGAAGGCTTCACGGAGGAGGCAGCATTCACATTCAAATGCATCACTGTGCTGGTGGGCAAGATGAGGAAGGGCATTCTGAGGAAGGACAGAATTGTGTGCTCCAGCTGGTGGGAGAATAGAGTGTCATATTTGCTCTGTCGTAGGGGATGTCAAAAGTGGTCACCAGCAAATGGGAGCTGGGAACTAAATGCTGAGTAACCAGCAAAGGGGGAAGGGTAGGAAAACAGTGGGCTGGTGCTCCTATCACTTGCCTTCCCCTGCATTTCTGGACCTCCAGCCAAGTGTCCACTCGGTGCCTAGCATGTTCTGTCTCCCCTGTTTAAACGCCACCCTTCCCTCAGGACTGCACAAAACTCCTACTTACTCTATGATGCAGGGGCAACAGGGCCTCCCAGCCAGAGCACAAGCTTTGAGGTGACCGTCCTGAGTTCAGATCCTGGCTTTGTCGATAAGAGAGGCCAGTGAGCAAACCAGTGTCTATAAATAAACCAAATGAACTGGCTTTGGACATCTCGCAGTCCCAGACTCTGCTTGACAGTAGTTCAAAATGAGAAGTGATTTCTGGGCAAAGCTCAATGCCAGAATCGCTACCAGGAGGACAGTTTAACCAAGGGTGTGTGCCTGGGAAGCCTTTTGTTAAGATCTCACCACGACTCCAGGCTGTGCCTTCTAGACGTTTCCAAAGAGACAGAGAACTGTCTAAGCATATATTGAAGCCCCTTTCTGTTAGACAATGGAGCTGTCTCTTGTCTACCCAGGAACTCCTCCCAAGTGGCGTGACCATGCCTGCACCTGACTTAGATGACAAGATAAAGGCAGGCCTGGGGGAAGAGATGAGTGCATTACACATGAGGGGCTGATGGCAGCGTGTGAGGGCGGCCACGAGAAACTCCACAGCCTGTCAGGCTTCAGAACAGGGGTTCCTTCCCTTACCGTCCCGGGGTTCAGACATCAGGTAAATGTGAGATCAGGGTCATGTCTTCTGAATCTCTTTCCTTGGTTTGCCATGGTATCCTCTTTCCACATCTTCACATGACCTCCCGCCATGCAGACCTATGTCCTAAGCTTCTTTGTGTGTTTCTGTACACACACATGCGGTAGCTCACACGTGAAGGTCAGAGGACAGCCGGACAGCCTCAAGTGTCAGTTTCTGGCTTTCAGTTGATTTGAAAAGCCACGTTAGAGCCAGGCCTCCACTTTCTGTCCTGTGCTGTATCCCCCATCTAACTCTTCTCCAGGACACTCTTCCCCACACCACCCCTCAACAAAATCCTAATAGTTAACCCTATTAACTATGGGTCCTTCCATCTACTCTCATGGGTTATCTGTGACCTCCTCCCATGTCCCTGCCTCCTTTTCCAGCATATTCTTCCAGGATTTTCCCTTCTCTGCCTTCATTCTCCGTAAGGCTGCAACTGTTCTTTCTAGCATTTTGTCCCCTCCCTGGTGACCTGCCCCCAGGGAGCCTTTATTAATTTCTCCCCTCCCCTGTTGCCCTCTCCTTGGCCCCTAGCTCATCACATCCATCAGTTCCCTGCACTGGTTTTAGCTGCTGTCTCCTTCTCATCCCCTCCCAGGAGGATGGCATCCCTTCCTCGAACTGGGCTGTGATCGCTGTCCCCTCGCCTCAGAGCAGCAGCACTGGAGGGCGGAGACTCCCAGAGGGCCGGGTTCAGATCGTTTTATTTTTACAACGTCCTTGGGCTGATCAACGTGTTTGCAAGTTTGTGCAGGGTGGGGTTATGTGCTGGGAAGGGACCAAGACTGCAAATAGCACTTGAAATTAATATAGGTCAGTTTCTGTGTGGTGTCCCCCAAGGGTCCTTGTGTGGGAAAGCCTGTCGTCTGGGGCTCAGCTCTGTAGTGGCAGTTGCTGTTGCCCTTGTGGTGGGGGGAGGGTGTGTGTGGGGGGTGCTCACAGAAGATTAGGAGGAAGCATTGGGCAGGAGAAATGGACCAACTGCTGTTCCGCTGCCGGGGGTGGGGGCTCCTTTCTCCTGACTCCCTGGGTGTGAGGTCCCTGATGCTGTGCCACGCACGGCTGGTGGGTGGGAGAGACAATCTAATTCCTTATAAAAGGCAAGGCCCTCATCTTGTACCCAGCTCTGCTCTGTGTCCTTAGATAAATTGTTTGACTTCTCTGGTCCTCAGTAGTCCTTGTTTTAAAAAAGGAGGAGGGGATTGCCCAGAGAAGGGTCCATGGAGAAAGGAATGGCTACACTTAATCTCTTCCAACCTCCAGGTCTTGGGAATTCCCATCTCACACCAGAGGAAATGGAGGCCTGAGTACCACGAGGGTTAAATGAACTCTGGGGTGTGAGCAGAGCTCAGCGCTATACCCAAAGGTGGAGGATAGTCCCAGGTGCCTTTCTAGCTCAGGACCAACCAGGGGTGCCTACAATACCCAGCAAAGAGCTGCAAACACCGCCATTACCCAACTGAAGGTGCCGAGAACAGTCGGGCTCAGAGCTTCAAGGGTCAGGAAGAACAGAGCAGCCATGGCGTCTGTGTCTGTGGAACATGGGACACAAAGAAACAGACCAGAGAAAATACAGTGACGAGCTGGACAGAGTGAAGGAAACTAGCCTGCCAGGAGGAATGAAACCAGGGAACCCAGTTTAAATCCAGGAGGTCTTGGAGGCAGGAGGATGCATCTTTGAAAGGATGGTATTTCTGTGGAAAGGATGGCATTTCTGTGGCACCTATGGAGGAAGACACAGATGCCACCCAGGAAAAGGCAAGAGAAGAGCGTGTTTTGACTTCATGTAGAAGACAGAGCTCATGCAAAGGCCCTGGGGCAGGAAAACACATGGGGCTCATTTCAGAGGGCTGAAGAGAGAGGACTGTAGGCCAGGGGCTAGAGATGACCAGATCCAGTCCGGCCAGGGTATCGAGCATGTGAACCTCCATGGATTTTTACAGAGAAAATGATGGGATGTGATTTTTGTGTTTAACCACATCCTTGCAGCTGCTGTCAAGAGGCAGATGTGAACAGGAGGGGACCCAAGAAGAGTGTCTCAGCCAGGAAGGACAGCAACAAAGTGTAGACAACCCTGGCTTCCTTTGTTGTCATAGCCCTTGCCCAGCCCTGAGAGACCTCACCCATTCAGCTAGATGGAGGGTGTCCTCCGGAGATAGAAGGGCATTATGCAAGAGTCAGGCAGTGAGGGCTGGACTCTGCTTGAAGTTCCTACCTCACTTATGCCCATCATGTGTCCTCGGACACAGGCTGGACTGCAGGAGCTTGCTGTCTTTGAACTTTTCTCCTTGTGCTCTTAAGGAATTTTCAATCTCAAGTTTCCTGAATCCTGGGGTTTTATTTGTTTTATGATACAGGGTCCCACATAGCCCAGGCTGGCCTTGAACCCACAATGTAGCTGAGGATGGCCTTGAACTTCTGCTCTTCCTGTTTCCACCTCCCAAGTGCTAAGGTTACAGGTATGCACTACCATGCCATGGTTATTGGATGTGCATTTCTTTTGTGTGTGTGTGTGTGTGTGTGTGTGTGTGTGTGTGTGCGTGTGTGTGTGTGTGTGTGTGTGTGTGTGTGTGTGTGTGTGTACACGTGCAAATGAATGTGTGTGGAGATGAGAACATGTGCCTATGGAAGCCAAGGTCAACCTCAGGTACCCTTCCTTGGGAGCCATCCACTTTCCCCCTAAGAAGTGGTCTCTTATGGGGACCTGGCAATCACTGGTTAGTCTAAGGTGGGTGGGCAAAGAGCCCAGCTGTTCCTGCCTCCACCTCCCTAGCCCTGGGATTACAAGCACATGCCCCTCGCCTGGCTTTGTGTTACCATATGCATGTATATGTGTAGAAGCCATGGGTTGACATGAGGGGTGTTTTTCAATCACTCTCCCTCTTATTCATTAAGACCTCTCACTGAACCTAGACTCGCCGACTGGCCAGTGAGCTCTGAAGACCTGCCTGTCTCCACCCCCAAGGTGCTGGGATTACAGGTGCAATGCTGCCACATCTGGCTTTTTGCATGGGTACTGGGGATCTGAACTTCGATTTTCATGCTTGCCTGGGCAAGTACTTTTCAGGCTGAGCCATCCCCCAGCTCCAGTGCCCAGCTTCTGAAGCATGAGTTCTAGGGAGTGAACTGAGGTCCCCACGTCTGCAAGGCAAAAAAACACTTTACCAGCTAAGTCATCTCCCCCAAGCCTGGCCTCTCAATGAAGAGAGAGAACAGCATCAGTCACCATTTAGGAAATGAGAGAATTGTGATCGCAAAGCACGAAGAGGACTCTCTGGCACATGGTAGGCATGATCTAGTTCTAATCCCATTGCTGTTATAAAATATGCTGATGAAAAGGAGCTTAGGAGGGGAAAGATTTGCTTTAGCTCACAATACCAGGTTGTAGTCAACCATAACAGGAAACCAAGGTGACTTTAAACAGTCACTTCACATCCACAGTCAAGAACAGAGAGAAATGGATGCACACATGCTCGCTTGCTTGTGCTCAGCTTGATTTCTCCACTCTTATACAATCTAGAACCCAAGCCTAGGGAATGGTACTGCCCACGGTGGGCTGAGTCTCTCTTCATTGATTAAAGGCAGCCTTCCACAGACATGACCACAGGCCAACCCAATGTGGACAATCCCTCACTGTCTTCCCAGGTGATTCTGGGTAATGCCAAGTTGACAGTAAAGCTAACCATCACAAGGTGCTTGGTGACTTCAGTGTCTTGCTCGTCTTTGAGGAAGGGAGCTCTAGGGGAGCAATCAGTTAGCATACAGTACTTATATGAATAAAATCGAAGGGGACTTCCCACGCCAGCATGGGACTTCCCATGCCCACTATCTCACAGTTGGCAGAGGTGACAGGTTTGACAGATGCATTCTGCATTCTGGCTTAGTCTCCAGGAGCAGACAGAAAGTAAGCAACTCTCAGTATGAGAAGATCCAGCCCTACCCGATGCTGCTATTGTCCCAGGGCCCTATATCTAGGCCCTTAGGAACATGGCTAGTGATGGGACCTGGTCCCATCTCCTTCCAGTTTCACCCCACTTCCTGCTTTAGCCAACCAGCAGCAGGTTTGTCCTGACTCCCCCGCCTAAAAAAATATGAGAGGAGATAGACTGTATACCCACCTGTGCCATGGGTGCCCAGGCTGCATAACTCTCAACCCAACCACACAGCTTTGACTGTAGTGTGATCCCCTGAGATCAGATGATGCTCTGAGATGCAGGGTGGTGTGCCGTGGTGGGATGGGGAGTAGCCAAAGCATATCAAGGACTCAGAGCCACTGGATGGCCTGGTTCTGACTCCCTAAGCACAGGTGATTAGATCGAGAGATACTTCATACCTCATGATTCAAGCATATCCAGGACCCTGGCTACTGCTGTGAGAAGGACATAATCCAGAAGCCTGGACTCGGGGGAAGGTTCTGGTCTCCTGGATCCCCAGCTGAGAGACACAGCTGCATGGAGGATGGAACCGCAGGAAGACGCCAGCACCTTGACTCAGAAGCCAGACCGGAGCAGGCTTTTCAGGACTGGAGGAAGCGCTGGGAGGAGGTGGCGGAGCTTAAGTCATGAGCTTTTGTTTTCGCTCTTTCTTTGCCTTTCATCTTGGGTGCCTCGAGTCCTGCTTGAAAATAGAGTATAAATAAATGATCAAACAATATGACAGTGTTCATTCCCTGCCAGCCGGTGACCTTGAAAGGGTCTTCAGAATGTCTTTGTTCTCTTCTGGCTCTTGTCACACTTGTTCCACTCGACAACATTTTCTGGGCCAGCTCAACACACAGGCAGGAGCCCTGCCTCGACCCTCACACAGCTTCACAGTCCGACGGCACAGTGGGCACCAAGCAGAGCCCCATCATGCCAGCATGTCAAGTCTGGAGCTCTCAGCCTGAGTGGCGTGGGAGTCATAGACTGAGCTGGCGAATGGACAGCCTTGGTCCACTTAGATCTTACAGGCTCTGCATTGCACTAGCCCAAGAGTGTGGGATCATGCAGTAGAGTCAGGGGGTCTTCCAGCCACTGGAGAATGGAAAGTACGCTGGAGATGCCAATCTATGTGACACCGTCAGAGAAGTCTGGAGTTAGGAATTTGGCATTGTTAATATCTAACCAGCATTCATGTGGCTATCCTAATTGTCCCCAAGGGTCCAGTCATGACCTAGGAAAGGAATGAAGTCCTCACAGGTGTAAATAGCTGTGATCTATGATATGGAGCAAGATCAAAGCCATATCAACAGCAGGGTGCCGTCCCTGTGTAGATAACACAGGGCTGGCTCTGGAAGAACCTGATCTCCCTGCAATGACCCAGGAGAAATGCCTGGGCTGTTCTTGAATGACAGGTACCAAGCATTCTATATTTTCTATATTTTCCTAGCTACATCCCTCTGCTCCAACTGTCTGGTCCAGAAAACAGGCACATGCCTTCTCTCAGAGTGCAGAAACCAACGAGTGATGACAACAGATGCCACCATGGCTTCCATTTAAGGGCCAGGTGTACAGCGGTTGCTCAGAACCCTCACAACTGTGTCTCCTAACGATGCTGTTGAGGATGCTGTTGCCGAAGGGATAAGGAATCCAGCAGTCCTTGGCCAAGACCCACATGCAGAACTTCAGGACAAGGAACGTGGCCCAGAAGTGAGGAGGTCGTACTTCCTGCTCTCACAGGTCACCAACCAGCCCACTCTGCCACCGCTGCTCTGTGGCTGGTTCACACCAGCTGTTGAGCATGCTCTGACTGAACGTAAGTATCTGTCAGATAAGAATGAGAGCCTGTTGGCAGCATGGGGCTCCCAACCTAAGGCTACCCTTCCTGGATGCCACAGGACTGTCCCCCAGAGGACCGACCACCTGCTGCATGAAACCGTTTCTCAGTGTCTGTCACAGCACACCACATGCAAGGAACAGAGGGCTCCCACTGCAGAGAATGAATCCCCAGGCAGGATCACGAGCAAGGGGTGTCCACAGGGGCTGGGTGGGGCAGGGCATTTACAAAGAAGATGCTAATAAGGGTGCAGAATGAGAATCTGGGGTATAGCAAAGGGCAGAGATGCCAGCCGCCTTACTAGAGCCAGGGGAGAGTCCTGTCACTGCCCCCCACTCTTGGTTTTTCAAGACAGGGTTTCTCCGCGTAGTTTTGGTGCCTGTCCTGGATCTCGCTCTGTAGACCAAGCTGGCCTCGAACTCGCAGAGATCCGCCTGGCTCTGCCTCCTGAGTGCTGGGATTAAAGGCATGCGCCACCACCCGCTGGCCACTGCTCACTCTTTTAGGGGAGCAAATTCATTCTCTTTCTGCTCTAGACTTGAGGCCCAAGACAGAGAGCCTCGTAAGTTGAGTTTAGGTCCTGTACCCCAGAGCAGGCGTGTCCCCTCAAATAACAGTGCCCAGAGACTGGACCCAAAGAGGAAGAGAAGGTAATCTCGTGTGAGATTTCCATCTAAAATTCTGAAGTGATCAGGGTGGTTCTGGTGGCGTGGCTCAGTGGCAGAGCACTTATGTAGCACACTCCGGGCCTTAGGTTTTGCCCCCAACACCAAAAAAAAAAATCAGCTTTTGTGTGTATGTGACCCCAACCCTACCTCTGTGTGTGGAGATAGCAAAGGACCTAATGGGAAAGGTCCTGTGCATGGCCCCCCTGAGCAGGTGAGCTGTCGTCCTGGGAAGCACTGTCAGGGACCCCATGACCTCCCATTCTGGAACCCTTCCCCCTTCGGACAGTGCAGACAGCTGCAGGATTGGGACACACACACACACACACACACACACACACACACACACACACACACACACCCTGAGAGACAGGAAAATGTTCACTCTGCCCCTTGGAGGAAGCACCGGGTATTTTCTGAGCATCTGCTTTGTGCCCAGCCCCTGCCAACTTTGCTCCAGGGAATGAGGATAAGCAAGGGGGCACTGCTGGGATCTGAGCCTAGGTCTGTCCTGAAGCTGGAGTACCCTCACCTCCAGATGTCACAGAACGGGCTGAGCTCTCTCATTCATCCTGTCCTTCCAAGAGGGCTGGGCTCCCCTCCAGGACGCACCTCTCAGCATTTTCTGTGATCATCATTCACCGAGCCTCCTGCCCATGAGTCTCCAATTTCATCGTTAGCTCATTGAGCAGTGGCAGCATTCCCAATCTCATTCAGGAATCTCCAACTTCTGCAGGACACCAGGGGACGGTAAGGAGGTGGGGGCGGGGCCAGGGGACCTGAGTGGCTTCAGGTTAGCACCTTCCTCATGGCCACTCACAGGCAGGGCTCTGGGCCCAGTAGGCTCCCTCTACTCCAGTGCAACTTCCCTAAGCCATGGGTCTATGTCCCTAAACTGTAGCAGGGATGTAACAGGAAGCCTGGGACACGTGCACAGCATATGAGGGGCGGTCGGCAGGGGTGTGATGAGGGCATTGTAAGCTGAGATATGCTGGCAGTAAGGGCCCTTCTGTGAATACCAACAAGCTTAGTTACCTTTCATGGCACCAAGAGAAGGCTCATGGAGTAGAACTGAGCCACTGGCCCCAGCTGAGAAAGGAGTGGTGTGACCATCCTCCTTTGATAGTTAAAGGCATTAAGGGGTGAATGTAGGGTCTGTTGAAACCCTCATTTTTAGGGGCCATCATTAAATGAGATGACGATGATGGCGGTGGTCACAGTCCCATTTGCTCCTGTAAGTGACTCTAAGTTTTATCTCATTCCATGCCATCACACCTCCCCAATGAAAATGTCATTGTCTCTTCTACTGGATGATGAACACCAGAGGCCCAGGGGGCAAGATGACACTCCCAAGGCCACACAGCTAAGGGGTAATAGATGCTACCCCCAACCTCTGAGGGTTCCCTCCAAGCTCTAGCTCAAGCTCTAGCTGGAGGGATGGGGGCCGCACGGCCCATCGGATACAGCCCACAGAGGCCCTGAGAGCTCCGCTTCTCTTCACTCTGCCTCACACCACACTGAGTCACATGGAGCAAGCTCAGAGAGCCAACAAGTTTCCACTCTAGAGTCAGCCAAGGCAAGCAGCCCAGACACCTGCAGCTAGAGGCCAGCGTCTCTCACACCTTCAACCACAGGCAAAATATGGTGTCAAGACACCTGGTGTGTTAGAAATAATTACTTGACTGTTCAAATGAAGAAAAAATGTTATCCTTGTAACTAACACCCCTCGACCCCTCCATGAATCAAGAAAAGCCCTGCTGTCCTCCCTCCCGGTGGGTAGTCTGAATCTCCTTCTACCTATGGGTTCTGGGGGTGAAACTCGAGTCATCAGGCTAGGCAGCAAGCTCCTTTACCCACTGAGCCATCTTGCTGGCCCTCAACCCCTTTCCTTTCCAATTAAAATGCTCACCTGATAGCTCATTGATAAAGAAATTTTTTTGGCAATTGAAAAGCAGAGCCTATTAATGTCATCAAACACAGTGGGACATCCAGTCTTGATATCTGTATGTGGATTTTGACAGTCCTCTCAGACTTTCCAAGCTGACCAAGATGTCTCGCGGCTCAGCTGAGGAACTGCAAGCTATCAGATGGACAGTTGGACAATCTGACACCTCTCCTCACAGGCACCTGGGCCTCCTAGCTGTAAACTCTTGGGTGAGCCCTGGCCCTCTCCAGGACCCACTTTTCCTCATTTAGAAGCTCGTCTATGCCTCTAGGAGTCTGCCCACTCTGGCTTGAGGGCACTCAGTGAGTCTCAAACCCAGGTCTATGAACTGAGGGCAATCCATGTTTGCTCAGTGCTTGAGTTGGCTCCTGTGCCCACACAGCTTCAGACGGCAGGCAGCCCAAGCCTCCAATGTAGAAGTATCGTACCCCATCTTGTAGAGCAGAAAGCTGAGACTTCAAGGGATAAGCCCATCCCCCATTCCACTCTCAACCTGGCTCTGAGCTAAGCAGTTCCCTGGCCCTGCCTCCTCCCCTATAAGTTGCAGAGAGAGGAGCAAAGGCTACCTCCTCCCTACAGTGGTACCCATGAGGACCACCATTGTTATTCCCATGTCACAGGAGGACAGAGACAGACACTTATTGTATAAACCCAGTGATCTGACTAGTGCTAATGTGGTCCCTCTGCCCAGTAAAGAGGTCCCCACCTTACGCAGATGATCACGAATAACAGATAGCAGTTACGTACAAGATGGGAACATGGTAAGGTCAAGAGAGCCCGAAGCAGGGTCCCAGTCCCAGAGCAGGCTACTAGGAGGCTGCCTGCAGGAACAGAGACAGGAAGAGGAGAGTGATGTCTCCAGACACTCTATATGCTGTGGGGCACAGAGTGTGGATCAATCAAGGGATGCAAATTTAGGGTGCTCTTTCTACACCCCGGGAAGGGGCTGTGGGGCTAACACAGGAGGCAGTGTCTGTGGCACAAAGCTGCTGGGGGGAGGGGAATTGCAGTACCTTCTCCAGATCCCAACAACCTCCACCCTTGAGGATCCTGTGGTCACCAAATCTGGAATCCTGCCCTCAGCATCCCTCTCTCAATGGCCCTGAGCTTTATAAGGCTCAAGATCCCCCAGGCAAGGGATCTATACGTGCTCGGTTAGGTGGGTTCTTCATTTTTGTGTTCATGAGACACCTAACAGCCATGGGAACTCACCATGAAGAAGAGAACCTGTGGAGTCGCCTGGCTGAGCA